ATTTCCTGGAGTTCTGGTGAGAAACAGTGACCAGTGGAGTTCAATCAGGTCTGTCGTGAGATAGTGACTTACTGAAGACATTGTTGGATGTGTCGCTCGATTTCATGGATCGGTTGAGGTAAACATTAACACCATCGGATGCCGGCTCAGTGGTCTAGAGGTTAAGCGTTTGCGCGAAACTGACAGATCCTATGTTCGAATATCGCGATGCTTCCCAGATACGTGAATGCTTCCACATATTCCAGATTTTCGCCATCAAGTGTGATTGGGTTGGTGTTCTCCGTGTTGTATTTTAGAATCTTGCTTCTTCCTTTGTGTATGTCGAGGCCTATTGAAGTAGAGACTGCTTCTACATTTGTTGTCTTCGTTTGCATTTGTTTGTGCGTATGAGATAGGAGGGCTTGATCATCTGCGAAGTCCAAATCGTCTACTTGATTCTGAAATGTCCATTGTATTGTGTTTTTCCCCCTTAGATTTCGACGTCTTCATAATCCAGTCAATCACTACAAGAAAGAGGAAGGGGGAGAGTAGACAGCCTTGTCTGACTCCAGTCTTTACTGGAAATGCATCTGTCAACTGTCCCCCATGCACCACTATGCACTGTAGTCCGTCATATGAGTTGTGGTTGATGTTGATAATCTTCTGAGGAACTCCATAGTGTCGAAGAGGTTTCCATAATGTTCTCCTGTCCACGCTGTCAAAAGCCTCTTCACAGTCGATGAAGTAGATGTATAGTGACGAATTCCATTCAACTGATTGTTCCACGATTATCCGTAGTGTCATAATTCGGTCTATGTACGACTTTTTATCTGTACTGCGATAATTAACAAAACACTCACTAAGGATTAATTCTTCTGTTTTATAAAAGATGACAATATTTAAGGTTGAAAATTTTCAAAAAAAAGCTACAATGAAATGGAACAACTGAAGCTCAGACGATATTGTTACAGTCACCCATCTCATTACTACATAAGGAAGGTAGGTCCCCTAATGATGTTCCGAAAAGAAAAACCGCCTCATTGAATCTGTCTGTTTAACTTTCAGAATGAAAAACCACCAGAGCATAGACCTATAAAAGCAATAGGAAGTGAGCTATAATAGTAATATATAAACCAAATAATGTTCATAACCTAATCCTATCCATATAACAATTTGTAAATAGAAGGAAAAAATAATCTGCATTCTGATTGGTTGACTAATTGGGATTGTATTATGTTTGAATGATTTTTCAAAAGGTCAGTAAAATAGTTACTTAGTTACTTGTTTACTATACTAATATACCTTTTTACACAAATGTCTAAAAAGGGCCTAATAGATACTTACTTACTTATTATACAAGTAAGAGAATCCATCAAAGTCCTAGCTAGAATATTGGAACCTTTTTAAAAAACCAGGCCAAATACATTGTCTATGGAAGATACGTATGAAACAAAGGAGGAGGGTGTTTTTTAGTACTATATAATGTTATCTGTCAGTACAACTGATTTATATGGATACAAATATACCTTTTTTGTAAATATATGTATTACATATTCGACAGTAAACAGGTCATTTATTCATTAATGTATTGGGTTGCTTGAATCTTCCCATTGATTTTTAGAACAACAATTGATCAGTCTGTTACTGGCATATGTGCATCTAAGGAGACTACCCTCAACTTGGTGGTCTCCTTATAGTGCACCCTGTTTTCTGCCTCCAAATGCCCTGGTACGGTTGAGAGTGCGGAGAGTCCACTCTCCCTCTCCAAATGCTCTCACATGGCCACGCAAATATAACATCTGTCAAGAAAGTCCTACTCATTACCTTCTCGTGGCATTACTGTTGTTTACGAAATTGAGAGGACGAAAAGCCAATGTCCGGCGTTTTAACCAGGTTGGTGGACACAGAGGGTCCACCTAGGGGAGTTGGAAAACCCTAATTTCAAACCAATGATGCACATGGGCTCCAGTATCCTGTTGAGGGAACAAATGGCGTATGAATCAATCGTTGTTCACCGGCTACCATTGGGGCTGCATCTCTTCACGATGCTCCACTGCCTTGTAGATCAGATCTTTAGGTCAAAGGCTCCGAGTGTGGCCCCCAATAAAACCACTTGCTTCAGTCTGGGCACCTGGACTGTATCACATAGTTCACACAAATCGAATGAGATTTGTGCAGCGTATATTTATCTGGTGATTTCTTGTACCAATATTTATGTGTTTAAATAATAATAATAATAATAATAATAATAATAATAATAATAATAATAATAATATGTGCATCTAGTGAGGATTGTCTCGATATTACCTTAAATCACAAAACATTATGAGCATAGATGGATGACAGTTAGCAGTGGAATTCAGGATAAGGGTTTTGTCCTATTTGAGACTCGTCAGCAGGATGTACCTGCATCTCAGAGTTGATGTTCACTTTGGGACTCACACCCAGTACTATTCGCTTCAAACACCATTTCATTATCAATTTAGCTACTGAGTTCAGATAGGCACTAGCTTTTGCAATGGAGTGAAGTTTTAGTCTACTATATCGAATATTTGAATCTTCCCATTGATGTTTAAGACTATAAATGATCAGTCTTGTTTAATCCATACTATCTGTAGATCAAAAATGATCATACAATGATATTAATTGATTGGAGTTATAAATATGTGCTTTTAATATTGCGCCTTACTAACCTATACATTAAGTGATCACTAAAAAACCTGGGGATACTGCATTTCAACCCTGGAAGTGTAGTAAGCGTACGCTACTGAAGAATCGCCAACAAGAATGTAACGACTATCCAATAAGCTTTGGCTTTCAAGATTTATGCAAAAATCTTGAAATTCATAAGTAATTTGAACCACTTCAAATAATCATACATAGTGGTCATTTTGATGTATGTTTGTTCCCTGAGCTGGATGGTTTGGTCATGGAGCTTTTATCGTCCTTCTGAACGACATCATTTGAATTTATTATTCCATTATATCTCGTTCATTTAAAATTCCCCGTACAAATAGAATCCTACGGAATATTCTTACTAAAAAACGGTTTGATCATTATAACTGTTCATTGACTTTTCTAAAACGATCAAAATTTATGTGTACTAAACGGTATTTCTGTAAATTACTTTAGTTGCATGTTAGTAAACCATAGTCCCTCTATTTAAATATGCCTTTCGCTCAAGTGAATAATCCAAGGGAATAATAGATTGATGGGAAATAACTCGGTGATTAGACATGAAAGTCACGGTTCCATCGAATTAGAACGAAATAGAAGGCCAGCAATTTCAGTATTTCTTCAAATAACGTTAGTTTGTAAATGTGACCATTCTCAAATTAGACAACTTTCAACAAGCTTGTTTGTAAATATCAAACTATATAAGAAGTAAAATTTGTTAAACCTGTACATAAATTCACTCCTGAAGGATTTCAAATTTCATTGCATCTTACTACATAAGGTGTTTTTATCAGTATAGGGTTGTGGAAATCGTTAAGTTTAAATTAATATCATGAATGGATTGATGTTTGACCACCACTAAAAACCTGAAAGCACTGGAATGTTGTTTCGCCCTAGTATGAGACTCCTCAGCAGTGCACATCTATGATCCTGCATGAGGGACTCGAATCCAGAACGTTCAGTCTCACTTCAAGGTTTTCAATGGTGAAAGTAAAATACCACTGAATCACTAAATTAAATTCCAACAATTTGCACTTTTCAACGTTTGATAAAAGCAACACGATCTTTAATCTTAACCTCATTAGTCTCAATAATCATAATATTTCATTAGCCGTTCGGAAAAAATCTCTAGAAGTCAGACGCAAGCATCCAAATGCTTAATAGTAATTGATACTCCATCGGAAAATTCATTTAATTTTAAGATGATTTAAGCCATTAGTAGTTATTTGTAGGAGATTTACAGAAATTTAGAATCTTCAAACAGTTTTCTCGACCTAGTGTGGAATGTTTAAGTTCCTGGGTTTGATTTTATTTCGCTGTCAACATAGTGTGCTTTATCAGTGTACCTCCTCAGCAGTACGCATCCACGATCCCGACTCGTGAGATTCGAACCCAGAACCTATCAGTCTCGCCTCAGAGCACTTAAGTTTTGTCCAGTGCTTCCAGGTTTTCAATGGTGGTCTAGCTTCAATTGACTCATGATCTCAACTATATAAAATATTGAATGATCTCAAATTAGAAGTTAGCAGATCAGTCAATCGACATCTAAATAATGTACATTCTTCTCACTGCATATCGTTAACAATCACGATATCTCTGATTGGATCTTTTGTAACTTGTACAACGAAAGGTTGTACACTTTACAGAATAGTACCTGAATACGTTGTGCGATTAATGAACAGATTAATAAGACAGACAAAATTAGATAACTTGTTGAAATATCTAGATGGAAGAAACAGGTAGCCCAGATGTTCAAGCAAGCCGCCAGTGATATTGACCAATTTGTCTTAGAAACAAACGTCATCCATAATCCTGACTGAAAGTATACAATTGTCACACACCCTATTTATTTATTTAAACACATAAATATTGGTACAAGGAAGCACCAAATAAATATGCGCTGCACAAATCTCATTCGATTTGTGTGAACTATGTGATATTGCCCAGGTGCCCAGACTGAAACAGGTGGTTTTATTGGGGGCCACACTCGGAGCCTTTGACCTAAAGATCTGATCTACAAGGCAGTGGAGCATCGTGAGGAGATGCAGCCCCATGGTAGCCGGTGAACAACGATTGATTCATACGCCATTTGTTCCCTCAACAGGATACTGGAGCCCATGTGCATCATTGGTTTGAAATTAGGGTTTTCCAACTCCCCTAGGTGGACCCTCTGTGTCCACCAACCTGGTTAAAACGCCGGACATTGGCTTTTCGTCCTCTCAATTTCGTAAACAACAGTAATGCCACGAGAAGGTAATGAGTAGGACTTTCTTGACAGTTGTTATATTTGCGTGGCCATGTGAGAGCATTTGGAGAGGGAGAGTGGACTCTCCGCACTCTCAACCGTACCAGGGCATTTGGGGGCAAAAGGGAGTGCAAACGCACTGTCATACACTCTATATATGCATCTATCTACACAAATATTCACGATCATCCGCATAGCTAGTTTAGATTTCTTTTTCACCAACTTCAATCATAATCTTTATCTTTAAATACTGTTTTTCATTATTTTCCTCTCAGACCTTTTCTATCAACAACATGAAACATAAACGTAGACAAATTAGTACAGAAGAATCAAACCAATGTCAATCTGATATCACAAATGGTTTATTATCACCATTGAATGAGATCATTGAGATCCCATCTGAAACTCAAATAGCAACAACAACAACCACGACACCGATTGAACCAATCAACACAATACATAGTTGTACTAAAAGATATAAACTATTTTTCAGTAAAATATTAGATTGTAAATTATTTCACATGATTATTGTTGTATTATGCGCATTAGATGGAATACTTGTGATATGTATGCTTCTATTGGAAATTGAATCATTAAAATTAAAGGTAAGTTATAATGTAACTAATTTTTAATATATTCATAGTTGAAATCATGAGTCAATTGAAGCTAGACCACCATGGAAAACCTGGAAGCACTGGACCGCCGTTGCGTCCTATTACGGGACTCCCCAGGAGTGCGCATCCACGATCCCACACCCACGAGATTCGAACCCAGGACCTACCAGCCTCGCGCCGGAACACTTAACCGATAGACCACTGAGCCGGCATCCAACGGTGTTAATGTCTTACTTCAACTGATCCACAAAGTTGAGCAATCATTCACCAATGTCTTCAGTGAGTTGATATCTCTATAACAGAGTTGGTTGAACTCCACTAGAGGATATACGTAGATTGCTTAACGTTACTGAGATCATGAACTGACTGAGTGAGAAGTTATGACGAGTAGAGTCCAGCCATGTTGGAATGTGAAGCAGTTGCATATACATGTCAATTGGAATATAGTTTAGCAGTATTGTGAATTAACTAAAGTTAGAAATATACACCATAGAATTTCTGCTCAGTAGTCTGAAGACTATTCACTTACCATTAGATTGAAGGTTCTGAGTTCAATTCAATATGATGAGGTCCTGAGTAGGTAATTCTGAGGATTATTGCAGTGGAATGAAAGGCTTGCCCAGAGCTTCCTAGTTTTCGTTGACTATCAAGGCTCATGATTTTAATAATTTTAATACGTTGATTTGTATTATTTTCCTAAAATTACAGAAATTAAATTCAATAGCTTTTTGATTATTGAAATAGGGAGTTGATGCTATGTTTGAAGAGATTAAGAGATCGCTTAAATCTGTGAACGGAACGAAGGATCAGAGACACAAAGATAAACTAGACTATTTCGATGCATCCCAACCCTACTAACTAGAGAGAGAAGACCAGGTTCAGATAAGGGGAAGGTATATTCCACAAGCAGCCAGAAGCATGAGCAAAACAAGCACATTTGTCAAGCATGAAAAGGTCCTTAGAAAACGTCATAAAATAGCATATTAAAAAAGGCGAAGAATCAGTGACATTTAGAGTGTTTCCACGTGGAAAGTACGATCGGAAAGTAAAAATGGGAGCTTTTGGAGCAAAAACGTGTAATTCAAATTTGTGAAATAAAACTACCAAAACAATACATTTACCAAGTGATTTCTGGGGATCCGGCAGCTCCAACAGTAATTGAGTGAATAATAATTTTCCTCTATTGTAACATAAATTAGTAACATTAATATCATCATCGTAATCAACAAAGTTTATTTTTATGTTGTGTGGTTATTCTAGTTTAATACCGATATACAGGCTTCCTATCTCTTTGTGTGTAAGCCCACTACTTGAGTAAAAAAGATCCAATAGTAAGTAGAAAACTTCCATGGACCTACAGAATTGATAATTTATACTCAACTTATTCATAAACACAAGTATGGATCTTAGAATAGGAGGCTATATATATTCGACCAACAGAGTATGACTTTTTTATTTGGAAAGTAAAGTCGAATCTTGATCACAATAGGATATGCACATGAACAGACGTCAGTTATCATTCGTCTTTTATGTGATTTGCCTATGGTATCATTTATCATATAAATATTTAAGATATTTATTAAGTAAAATACTACTGAAATATTGTAGTAAACAAGAACACGGGTGGGGACAATCGAATGCATTTAAGCACAAATTAAAGACCATCTCACTAAAATCTGATAACCATACAGGTAATTTGCAAACCATCAATCAACCGTCTCAATGTTGACTGTTACTTTTGTAAATCTCATTCCGTCTTCTCTGATTTCATTGTTCATGCATTTTCATACACATTGTGCTTCATTCCTGTTCTTTCCTTATCGATCTTCTGCCAAAATACATTCTATGTCTGACCATCACCAAATACTACTTATATGGATATAAGTAGACCACACCATCAGTTAGTTTCATCATGGACTGATTCTATATCTTGGTTCAGTCATCACTAGCTTTCTTACAACCTCCTTCTAGGTTAACTAGGAATTTTCATTTAGATAGTAATCAAAATCCAAACATACTTTTAAATTAATATTTCCTTTATATTTTCGTAAATTAAACCTATCTTATTCACTTATTACTAACTTTAAACGGTTCCTTTGATACTAATCTAATTAATATATGCTTTTCATCGTAGATGGATATTAGTTGGAGTTTCACTGGAAACTAGGGATCTTGGAATGTGAAACGCTGATAACATATGCCTATAGAAAATGTATTCGTACACTTCTTATTCAATGATTTTATAAAAAGTTGTAATTGACGGAATTTGGGCATGTAAGCGGTAAATTAGTCACCATCAGTAGCAAAGAATCAATGATTTTACTATATAATCAGTTAAACTTAATTTACTTGTCTAAAAAGTAGCCGCCAACTAAGAGATTTAAAAGTTATGCCTTTCATCTTTATTGAGCTGATATGTGTTCATTACTAAGGGGTTACATATATAAACAAAAGAGTTCTTCAATAATCCATGACATTCAAAAACATTCCAACAAATATATAAACCATTTATAAGATAAGCTTATATTCTCGAAAATTCATAATTTAAAAGCTTATCAAAATGTAGAAGAGAATCATTCCATCAATCAAACTGGTCCATCTTAGAATTCATTCAAATAGAACTGACATATTGAATTCAAAGCAAGCTATAGTGAACAAGAACGTGGGTGAGGACAATCGAATGTCTTTGAGTACAAAATTAGACTATCACAGTAAAATTTAACAACCATACAGTAAAAAGTTAATTTGCAAACTATCAATCAATTGTTGCAATTTTGACCATTCCTTCTGCAAATATCAGTCCATAGACTCCAATTATTATTATTGTTCATGTATTTTCACGTTGTTTCGTTATCGATCTTCAACTGAAATACATTAAATGCTCGACTGTCATTATATACTACTTATGTGGATATAAGTTACCCACACCACACACTATGATTATTACTTGTACTATTTAAAATAAGAACAATAAAGTCTTGTTTAATTTTTGATAAATTATCATATAAATATAATAATCTCATTTAGACTAAATAAAGATTTTTATTATCAGAAAGAGTTTAGTGGAGATTTTGGTAATTTTACATAGGTGAAATTGTGAGCGAATTGAAGCTAGACCACCATGGAAAACCTGGAAGCACTGCTTGAAGGCCGTTTCATCCTATTATGGGACTCATCGGCAGTGCGCATCCACGATCCCGCCTCGCGAGACTGGGACCCAGGACCTAACAGTCTCGCGCCGGAGCACTTAACCGATAGACCACTGAGCCGACACTCGACGGTGTGACTCATGCTTTCAACTATGAAAATACTGAAATCTCTACAAAACCCCTTCAGATAATAATGATCATATTATTTATTTATTTAAACATATATATTGGTACAAAAGGGCACCAGATACATATGCGCTACACAAAATAATGAAAGTAGGAAGAGAAGGGATGAAAAGATAAAGCGGACTGGAATGTACAACCAGAAGACTCTTTCAGTCAAAAAAGTTAGAACCACTCCTTATGAAGAAAGTAAAAGAAGTTTGCAGCAGGCTCGCCACTGGCTTCTATTCTGAGCCATATCTCACAACCTATCTAGCCACTGTGCTGCACCATCTCTCGGACCCCAGTCAGGGAGTCGTGAAGGACCAACAGAAGCTAGCCCTTCGCAGCATTCTTTCATACTACGACACTATGTCATACACTGACCACCTCTCCGCTTTTTCAAACCAGTCCCAGGGTCGACAAATAATGCACGACGTGCAATTCTCTGGGACGACATTAGTAAAACATGTCCAAGCCACCGAAGTCGGTGTTTCAAGATGGTGACACGAATTGAATTATCGTCTCTGCGCCCGAACACAAGATGCCGAACCTCTGCATTACTAACATGGTGTTGCCACTGGATGTCAGCAATCCTTCGGAGACAAGGATGATCGAACACAGAGAGACGTCTAACATCCTCAACTCGGAGAGGCCAGGTTTCACAAGCATAGAGCAAATCTGCTCTCACCGACGCGTTGTAGATCCGACCTTTTACAGCCAGACTAACATCACGAAGGCGCCAAAGATGGCCCAGATTGGCATAAGCCACTCTGGCTTTCATTATACGTGCATCAATCTCATCACTCACGCCACCACCAGCACTTATATAGCTACCTAGATACACAAACTTCTCAACTACTTCGATCTCCTCACCATCCAGGGTGAGTACAGGATGAGAATCCTGCCAGTCTTGTAAGAATACTTTGCACTTGGAGGGTGCAAAGCACATGCCGTACCTGCGGACACTGATTGCCAACTGATTAAGTGCTGATTGCATGCCTTGGGCATTATCGCACAGTAAGACAATATCATCCGTATACTCAAGGTCGAGAAGTCGTTCTCCAGGCAACATATCCACACCGCCATTACTTACATCCACCAGAGCTGTTTCCAGGATGTCGTCGATGGCAAAGTTGAAGAGGAATGGTGAGATCGAGCAACCCTGCCTAACCCCACTGCTCGAATGGAACAAGGGAGAAAGGTGGTTGTATGCCTTCACTCTGCCTGAGCTGTTCGTATACAGGGCCTTTAAGATGTTAATGATGATCATATGCTCAATGGTGAATGACTTCATAAGGTACTTCCTGTAGTCCTGATGACAAGTAGTGACCAATAAAGTTCAACCAGGTCTCTTGTAGAGATATCAAAACACTGAAGACATTGGTGAATGGTTGCTCAATTTTGTGTATTGGTTGAAGTTAGACAATAACACCGTTGGATGCCGGCCCGTTCAGTGGTCTAGTGGTTAAGTGCTCTGGTGCGAGACTAGTAGGTCCTGGGTTCAAATCTCGCTATTTGTATCGTGGATGCGCACTTTTGAAGAGTCTCACAATAGGACGAAACGGCCATCTAGTTCCTCCAGGTTTTCCTCAATGGTGTAGGTCCAATTAATTCATGCTTTCAACTATGAAAGTTAAAAGTGATCTACAACCAAATTTTTCACTTGATTCCCTAATTTTTATCTCATTTTTTCTCCTTTTTTTTGTTCTTTTAATTACCTTATTTCTTTACATTGAAACATTCAAATGAACTCAAAGCATTTATAGAAGAAAGACAACATTCCCTAGAAAAAAAAAAGAAAATACCCTTCATTTATTTAATTTGTATTATTTAGGTGATTAACATTAATAATAATGATAATAATGAACTATTATTAATCATAACTAGATTCTAGTTACTAACGAGTTTATCATTATTCATCTTTACACTACAATACAAAAAAAAATGTTTTCTATTTTAATACCCTTTTTTTGATTATTTATCAACGAAACAAAAATTAAGGTGATGATAATAAAAAAGTGAAGAAAAAAAGTAGAGAAAAAAAATAAGAAGAATATTTTTTTTTCTAATTCATTATTATTTTCTCGGTCAAATTTCTTTACCCTGTTTTTACATAATTTTTTATTTTTTTTATTTTTTTCGATTTTTTGTCTTTTCTTGATTTTTTTTCTTTTTTGATTTTTTCTTTTTGATTTTCTTCTTTGTTATTTTTTCTTTTTTATTCTTTTCTTTTTTTTCCTATTTCTATATAATTCTTTTTTTCTAAAGTTTTAATGAATTTGAACAAAATAGGGGGAAAAAGAAAGAAAAATAAACCCCAATTTGAATACTGAAAATTTAGGTCAATATGAGATCATTTTGATGCACGAATTTATATATACAAAGTTGTTTTTTGTTTTTTATCGGGGGATAGTGGAGGGGGGATGCCGCAGGAAACTTTAGGTTATTTAATCAATATTATATATATATATATATATATATAAAGAAAGAGAGAGAGAAGTTAAACATTAAAATTAAAAAAATAAATAATGAATTTTCATTGTTATTGTAGTTTATTAGTATGAAAAAAAGGAAGTTTTACAAAAATGGATAAACCATCAGAGAGAATGAAACAAAATTCAATATGATATTGAATGTATAGATGGTTTTTAATAGTTTAGAAGGTGAACTATTAAATAGATTTGATATTCGCTTTAATCCTCTGAGAAAATTTCATACAATTTCATTAGGATTCTTTTATACAATTGACTGAACACCGATCATTACGACGCTCTATGCTGACTAGTGTAGGGGATGGTTGGAAGAAAGTTAGGGGCGGCCAAACCAAAACGTGACATCAGTGTTTGAAGTCACTAACTTCTAGTCTGAGCCATGTTGGCAGATGCAGACTACTTGTTTGCGGCCTGCATGACTATCGTAACCAATGGTTGGAGACTCTGTGTGACATGGCTCAGAATCTATCACAATGGCATAGGTGTATACACTCTTTATCTTTCCTTGAGATTAAAATTGCATCATATCTGTCTTCCTTCCTATACTATATCCTTATATACAACCTACCTTTTATATATTACCACCACTAAATTAACTACTTCTATGAATCCGGTGTTCATCCTGTTGTGCTAACGAGGTATGGCAACTTTGACTGATGCATATGTGTGCCTGGTCCTACGTTGGAGCTGACTGACTGGCTGATAACGATGAAGTCTTTTGTCTAGACCAATGTCTTTCATTTCGTTGATTGAACGGAGATTGATTATAAATACAGTGATCTTCAGTGCTTTTAAAGTTATGTAAGCGGTTATCACTTCCGGGTTGCCACACCGTCGGAGGGTTCTTCTAGTGGCAGTTGAAAAAGAAATCGGGTTAGAGGTGATCTTGATTACCTGAGAGCGTGACCACAGTACCCAAGAGACAACTTCTTGAAGTCGGTCACACATGACGTTTTTGTGAGTAGTTTCCGTGTTACCTCTGTAATTGTTTGGAACTTTCCGCCCGAGACCCAAATCTATTGGATAAGACGAGGTGTGCATTTTGGTGGTGACCTATTCTAACCCCATCCCTTCTTATAGGAAGGCATCGCTGCTATGCTCGTTTACTGAAAGAAACACCTTACTGTCATCACACTTCTGTACAGTCAGCAGTAGGACTTCTCCCTTAAAGCTTCGATTTCCTACTATTACTCTTACTATCGTTCAACTGAACTGTCTGGCACGATAGAACCTCAAGGAACGATTGTAACAAACATTCAAAACTAAACAACCCAGTATATTTCCATCATCTTCATTTAAGTTGTGTGTTTTTTTTAAACTATATTATACATAGACAATAATGTAACCCAATACTAATTTACCTCTCCTCTTTTTCTTTTTTTTGTTTCCTTTCTATATCATATTCAAGCCATGCCCATTACGTAATCGTTTAAATTTAATTTCATTTATATTTGAATGTATAAGTTATATGATTATATCATTATTTCTAATAGAGATACCAATTAAATTATGGACATACGGTATAAAATTTTATCATTATCAATGGATTGAATTATTAGATGTATTTGTATGTATTATTAGTTTTACAGTAGATACATATAATATACATCGACATGTTACAGAATTTAAAACTTCTCATGATGATTTTAAGTTAGCGGAAGAACATTCCATGGATGATGTTGAACAATCAATTCATACAACAATTGCTGATGCTGCTGGTTTATTAGTATTATTTCGTCTTTGGCGTGTTATACGTATTGTTAATTGTAAGTTTGAATAGTTTAGTTGTTTTATTATATTAAAGTTGGTAAAACTGTTTAAGCTACACTACCATGGGAAACGTGAAAGCACTGGACGGTTGTTTCATCCTATTGTGGGACTCCTCAGTAATGCGTATCCATAATTTTAACTCGCGAGATTTGAACCTACGAATTATCAGTCTCGCGCACGAGTGCTTAACTACTAGACTACTGAACAGGCCGGCATTCAACGGTGTTAATGTCTAACTTTAACCAATTTAATGGAGTTCAACCAGGTCTGTTGTCAGAAATCAATTCACTGAAGACATTGGTGAATGGTTGCTCAATTTCGTGGATTGGTTGAAGTTAGACATTAACACCGTTGAATGCCAGCCCGTTCAGTGGTCTAGTGGTTAAGTGCTCGCATGCGAGATAAATAGGTCCTGAGTTCAGATCTTGTGACGCGGGATCGTGGATGCGCAATGCTGAGGAGTCCCACAATATATATATATATAGTTGAAATCACGAGTCAATTGAAGCTACATCATCATGAAAAATCTGGAAGCACTGGACGGCCGTTTCGTTTCATTGTGGGATTCCTCAACCATACATATGGTTAACTATCTGTACTTATACACATCCATAAAATGTTGACAGTTTAACCTGAATCTAACTACAGTCTTGAATTTATTGGGTAAGTTTGCGCTAAGTAATCACCAATATCACATCAGTCTAATCCTTGGAACTAAAAATATCAACTATGGAAAACTCTGAATCAATCAGTCTAAACTTATCGTTTCATTATATGAGATCAGAAATTTTCAAAAATAAACAGGAAAAATCAGTGTCATCGTAAATTTAATTTATCTTAATAGAACATTGTACGTGATAATGAAAAAAAGAAATTAGATGATTAATATTTACAGCGAAGCATATCTCGAGAGGAGGGATCGTGGATGCGCACTGCTGAGGAGTACCACGATAAAACGAAACGGCCGTCCAGTGCTTCCAGGTTTTCAATGGTGGTCTAGCTACAATTGACTCATGATCTCAAGTATTAAAATTACTATTATATCTACAAAACCCCCTTCTGATAACTTTCGTTTTTAGTTGTTAAACCAATAAATTTAGATTATTAACATGACAGTTCAATTTAATGATCATTATCAATGATTTCATAGTTTAACTGAAACTCTAAAACGAAAGAGAAAACGAGAAAACAATGTACATCTGATCTTTCCTATAAAATAACTTTAATTTTATAACTGTACTATGTATTCTAAATATTATTATCTTTAAAAGTAGCATAATCTTATCTATAACACAATATTGTTGTTCAGAAATAGAAGAAATCTACTGCCTCGATCTTGAGTTCATTGTAAGTGGTCATGGTAGAAGATATTCAAATCAGGAAAACTAACTTATCAGTGATCCTTAATCTTTAACATGTAATGTGATCTTGTATTTAGAAGACTCTGCAAATCCTTGATTCTATCATAAACTAGTAAATAAATAATTCATTTTATTAACAATATATTAGGTTATGACAATTGATGATCCGTATAACAACAGTTCTATAAACATTCTAAATACACCTTAGGGACGAGTACCAGCTAGTAAATGTGTTTATAATTTATTTATTTAAGCACATAAATATTGGTACAAAGAGGCACCAAATATATATGCGCCACACAAATCTCATTTGATTTGTGTGAGGATTTTTATATTGCCCGGGTGCCCAAACCGAAACAGGTGGTTTACTTAGTGGGCCACACCCAGAGTATTTGATCTAAAGATCTGATCCACAAGGCAGTGGAGCATCTTAAGGAGATGCAGTCCCATGGTAACAGGTGACCAACGATCGATTCATACGCCATTTGTTCCCTCAGGATACTGGAACCCATGTGCACCATTGGTTTGTAATCAGGGGTTTCCAACTCCCCTAGGTGGACTTTCCGTGTCCACCAACCTGGTTAGAGCGTCAGAATTCGCTTTTCGTCCACTCAATTTCGTAAACAACAGTAATGCCACTGTGAGAAGGCAGTCAGTAGGAATTCCCTGACAGAGGTTATATACGTGTGGCCATGTGAGAGCGTTTGGAGAGGGAGAGTGGACTCTCCCCATTCTCGGCCGTATCAGGGTATTTGGGAGCAATTTAATTAAATTTTTAGTAAGAAATAAATTATCGATTATAAAATATCTTATAAAATCAAAACCGACTTCATATGACAAAATTTATTGGTATTTTTGGAAAAATGGTTCTAAAACTATGAATTATATTCTAGTATGACAACTCGAACAGTTGTACGTAAGTACGAAGTTCTACTTTGTGACTGACTGATGTAAAATTGTAAACCACAGACTTTCTAGATTTAATTTAGAATTTTTTTTGTTTCAACATATCGTATTGTCTTTCAGCTATTATCGTTTCTGTTACTGCTACACATGAAAGAAATGTGAAATCATTAAAAGAAGCTCAAAATATTTCATTGAAACGTATTGGTGAATTGGAACAATTACTTCAAGATAATAATATACCAACACCTCCACTAACACCAAAGATTCAATCTATATTAGCAAAAAAAATTTAAACCTTAATTGCATTTATATTAAAATATTTTATCAGAAATTGATCATCACGTTAAATTGTCATGATTTTTCCGTAAAATACTCTATTTACACTACTTATTATTGTAATTAAGTAGTTTAAAATATTTATGTGATATTTTGCATTGAACTTTTATCTTTCATCATTTTATTATGTGTAGACTTTCATAGCTCCATTTTTGACATCTTCATATACAATTTTACTAGAATTCCAGATTTTTCCTCCTGATCTCTTCAAAAATAATATAAACATCAATCCATACTGGTAATAATGTGTTAGTTTAATAATAAGACCTGTTATATTATTATAAAGAATAATTTATTACATCATATAAATGTTTAATGATCATTATGGTAATTTGTTAGAATACAACGATTTTCCTTTTCAAATTCTATTTTACTTTTTTCATATTTCAACGGAGTTTTATTTCATGTTATTGTATTCTCTATTTACTTTATTAATTTTGCCTTTAAATGCCCTGGTACGACCGAGAGTGGGGAAAGTCCACTCTCCCTCTCCAAATGCCCTCACATGGCCATACGTATATAGCTTCTACAAGGGAAGTCCTACTCACTGCTCTCTTGTAGCATTACTGTTGTTTACGAAATTGAGTGGACGAAAAGCCAATGTACAGCGCTTTAACCAGGTTGATGGACACGGCGAGTCCACCTAGGGGAGTTGGAAAACCTTGATTTCAAACCAATGGTGCACATGGACTGGCTACAGTATCCTGAAGGAACAAATGGCGTATGAATCGATCGTCGGTCACCTGCTACCATGGGACTGCATCTCCTTAAGTTGCTCCACTACCTCGTGCATCAGATCTTGCGGTCAAAGGCTCCATGTATCCCCTTAAGAAAACCACCTGTTACAATTTGGGCACCAGGTCAGTATCACAGCCCTCATACAAATGTCATTTGATTTGTGTGGCGCACATATATCTGATGCCCAGTGTACCAACATTTATGTGTTTAAATAAATAGAAAAGTTACTGTGTTTTTGAAAATGGAATCAGGTGAGAATACGTTTTGTAAGTGATACTTTACGTGAATACATTGTTGCATTTCAAGAGTGATTGATACTTATAACTCGTAAGATATTTTAAAATTGTGCTGTCTGTGTAACTGAAAACATTTCTAAGGATAAAAATGACTAGTTTTGTCAACTATTGTATTCACATTAGTGAAATCTATTGAAAAGAAAGCTAAGATTTATGATAAAAGATATACAGTTCAGGAAGATGATATTTTATTGTAATTCATTCGTATGATCAATAAATGTTCAACACATGTACAAGGCATGCTCAGAGGTGCACATCAGCAATTGGCAAGGTCAAAAATATAGGCGGAAGGGCAAATCGAAGATTAGAAATCACGTGGGCATTTGATATCATAGATTTGTTAAAAGCCAATCGGGCCGCGTTAGAACTTAATCGATACAATTCGATTGGGGTCGAAGTTGGGTAACCTGAAAATGACCCCTACTCAGTTATCAATCGATTGAAGACATTTCAAACCTACGGGTCAGACGTGATCTATAAAAACCAGAGGTAACGCCCAAGCCTGTGCTTTAGTTCGAACCTCACATGGGGCGTCAGTTCCCCATGACGACAGGTATTCCGCGTTGACAAGTGTCAATTAGAGCGAAACATGGGTCAAGGAATTCTTTTCGAATGCCTTCAGCTACCTTATACAGTACTCCATCCAGTTGGTCATCTGACCAACTGTTTTTGTTATTTTGAAAGGTATAGTTTCTTTAGTTGGAGATCGCGCAATGCTCCTAATCAATGTTTGAAGTAACATAGGCAACACTGTCTATAATCATTTGCAGTGGTGTAATTGCACATTTACTCTCCATAAATTCTAATTTAAACGTCTTTCTCGGATTCTCAATCTCATTTGTTTCATCTTTAACTGTATACTACATGTCTACGTTTCCATCGTGATCTTATGCTCGGTTCTACAAAGGTGATTTAAAGTATGTCCCATATTTATGTCAAGTCCTACGTTGATACTGATGATTGACTGACTGTTTGTTTATAATTTACATAGAACTAGTATCATACTAATAAGAACTTAAATAATCACAATTAGAGCAGATCAAATGAAGTTAATGTGAAAGCTAAACTTTTGTATAGACGACACCTGAATAAAAGGCTGTGTCGCTTGTCAACATGACACTATATTGAGGCGTTTTGTTACTGAGGTGAAAATAAAACAAAGACTAAGATAAAAATGTCATAGCAACATTCTTTGCCATACATAAAGTCTACTTTAAAGAAGATAATTATAAATAATACAAGTAATCAGAAGGGGTTTTGTGGAGATTTCAGTATTTTCATAGTTGAAAGCATCAGCCAATTGAAGCTAGACCACCATGCTAAACCCGGATGCACTGGAGGGCCGCTTCGTCCTTGTGGGACTCCTCAGCAGTGAGCACCCACGACCTCGCTTCGCGAGATTTGAACCCAGGACCTACCAGTCTTGCGCCAGAGCACTTAACTGATAGACCACTGAGCCGGTATCCAACGGTGTTAATATCTAACTTCAACCAATTCACGAAGTTTGAGCAGCAAGTATGCTGTTAATCATATTCGTATAGACATCGATTTAAATTGACAATCCAGAGAACTAAATGTATCTCAATAAAATGGTCAAATGGATTGGTACCATAATAAAATCAGGTTTTCACTAAAAACAACTTGAATAGACAACAAATACAATTGTCAGTCTTAGTAGCTTATATCAGATAGAACAGTGTGAATGTTAGAAGACAACATGTGATCAGTAAATGGGGGGATTTTCTATGAAACGAAACCCTCCCCTCACTTGAATATATCATGAAGTCAACCCAAAATTACAATAGAATGAATGATTCATGCTGACTTCCGTCCAATCGACAGAATAAATTAACTAATGAAACTGTTTAAACTTACTATCAGTATGAATCATAACTTCGAGTAAGTTACGTCCATCTCATTTGGATACAATACGTGTTCATGATTTTATGGTATATCCGCTTCTCTTCGTTTAGTGAGTCAGTGCTGTATCTGAAAGCATCATTCTCATTGAGGTTTTCATTTAGAGCTCTAACTTTCACTTTATTTACTTTTTCATCCAGCTAGTCGGGATGCACCACAGTGTCGTGGTTACGGAATACACATATAGATAGCTTTAGGTGACTAAAATCAAACCCCTTGTAAATATCATGCTCTCATATGCAGCATCAACTCACTAAATGAACAGAAAAGTGTTAGGAAATGCTAGATATTGACATTTATTGAACATTGAAAAACAACGGTTATCCGCATACGACAATGGCTCAAAATAAGCAAAGATGGTTGGTGGCTAGCAGTGGAATCCAGGAGACGCGTTTCGTCCTATTTGGGACTCGTCAGCCGAATGTACCTGCATCTCAGAGTGAATGTTCACTCTGGGACTCGAACCCAGTACCGTTCGCTTCAAACGCCATCGCGTTATCCACTCACTTACTGAGTCCGGATAGCCACTTGTTTGTGCAATAGGGTGAAGTTTAAATTCATTTGATATTGTTTGTTTGAATCTTCCCATTGATGTTTAGCACTGCAACTGATCAGTCACTTATTGGCACATGTACATCTTGTGCAGATCACCTCGATAATGCCTTGATTCACAAGCATTATAAGCAATATCGAGGCACATATACCAACAAGAGATTGATCAATTGCAGTGCTAAACATCAATGGGGACATTCAAACAAACAAAACAAAATGAATGCAATGGCCTAAACAACTCACTTTCCACTAATCAACAATCTTAGATGGGGTGCAGTCAAAAGAAACACTAACGATAAACATATGGCTATATATACTAACTATAACATGGAATAACTGCAAAACACTACCTGATTTCAATAAAAGCTTCTTTATCAGTATTGTTTAACTACTTGCCACTTAGACAGAGGTATACAATGTTGTGAATATAAAAGGAGTGTGACAAGGAAAACAATCTTTCAAGAGAAAAAAAAACAAACAAGCAAAAAGCACTTTTTTCGATGAAAAAAAGAACACAAATGTATATATTGCAATCAATACTAATGGTGCTTAAATGAAATTGATTAAGTTGCTTATAATTCAAGGAATGTGTGAATGTGTGTGCACCATCCTCAATGAAGACAGAAAGAAAAATACGACATGAAATTGTGCGCGAAAACAAATAAGATAAAAATCAGTAGCGAAATTCATAAAAACACTAACTTAACTCCCAAAAAAATCAATCAAAATATCCTAACAATAGAGCATAGGAACGAAAAGATGTGTTGTAGAGTATAGGATAGTTACGCCATCTAGTAATAGATAGTAATTAAGCTTCACTAATAGTGATTCGAACCATGTTAATTTGTTCTTGAACATTACTTGATTTCTCATTCCATTCATTTGCTTCATCTAAGAGATTAAAATTTTTTTAAAAAAAAGGAATATAAATAAAGACAATTGGTTCCTCTCTTTTTTTCATTCTAACAATCATAGTGTATCATAATCTCAATCTGTAAGTAAACTAAATTTGTGAGAAACTTGACAATTATCTATTTTAATTATAGAAGGGGTTTTGTGGAGATTTAGTATTTATCATAGTTGAAAGCGTGAGTCAATTGAAGCTAGACTACCATGGTTCCAGGTTTTCCATGGTGGTTTAGCTTCAATTGACTCACGCTTTCAACTATCTATTTTGTTAAACAATGATCTCTACCAATTAAATCACAATACAAAGATAAAAAACTGTCATGAAGGAGATTGATAATGAATAGAGATCTTGAGTTCTGTTAGAGGTATGAGAGCAGTTATCACTTCTCGGTTGCCCACACCGTGGAAGGATTCTTCTAGAGGTACCTGAAAACGAAATTGGATTTGACCTGAGAGCGTGACCACAGTATCCAAGGGACAGTTGCTTGAGGCCGGTCACACACAACTTTTTTGTGGGTAGTTTCTGTGTTAGCTTCGTTCTTCAAAGGACCTTACCGCCGGAGACGGATATCCGTCAGATAAGGCGAAAAGTGCATTTATAGGGTCGACCTTTTCTAACCCCACTCCTCCTTGTGGGAAGGCAGCATAGCTGTTATGCTGGTTGTCTGAAGGAAACACCTCACTGCTGTCACACCTCTGTACAGTCAGCAGTACGACTTCGCCTTCGGACCTTGGGTTTGCTGCCTCTTCAACCGACTTGCCTGGCACAGCAGGACCTTGAAAAACAATCGTTCAAGCCAGTATAGCTCAATTGGATCATCACGATATGCAAGCCATACCACCACGTCAAGGTAGCAGCAAAGGTCGGGATTGTCATGAAATGACGACATCAAGTTGTTGCACCCCGAAGAGAATTATGAATGGTAACTTT